CCACTAGGGAGAGTAATGAGCTTGATCACTCAAAACTGCGCCTAACGTTGCTTGAAATTTATATCTTCATTTCACATGCTAGGCCTGAAATAAATGTTAAATCTTGTACACAGTGAATTCCTCCTTATCTCTGTATGGGTGCTACTATCTCATTTACCTTTCCAACTAAGATGAAATTTACTTTTCCCACAGGGCCTGGTATAACCTAGTGGTTAGAGCGCTCAAACCGAATATGCTCACCCTTTCAGCTGTGGGGGTGTAATAATGTGACGATCAATACCTATATTCGCTGGTAAAGATTAGTCAAAAGGTTGGCGGTGGGTAATGTTGACCAGCTGCTTTCCCTCTACTCTATTGCTTCCAAATTAGAGACAGTTAGCATGGATAAATAACAAGTTGTTTTGCACGAAATTCGACAAAACGAACAAACTTTTCATGCTCTGTAGTTTGTTCCATAGATGTATTTGTCTGTTGTATATGAGCTGGTAGATGTTTCTGATCTGTAAGATCATGGAACTAACTAACAAAAAGCTATTATTATTATATCATATGTTTGAATATTTACTAGAACAAACAACACTACGTGGCTACACAATTCCAAAGAGGTGCGTTCTGTTGGCGAATTTGTGGAACGTCCATAGAGACCCCAAGTACTGGCCAGAACCAGAAAAGTTCGATCCATCCAGGTTTCTGAGTTCAGACGGCAAGGTAGTGAAGAGGGAAAGTTTCATACCCTTCAGCATTGGTAGGTATTCCGAAGAGTTGAGAAAAAATAACACATTTACTTTTTAAATTTTTTTTCCCTGAAAAGTCATTCATTATTCATTCAAAAATAATCTATCATCAAACAAATGTTGTACAACGATGTCGGAGCTTTGCACAGTTGTAACTAACAGAATCGAATTTGTATTCAGCTAATTACACTTGCACGGTAGAGGTCGTACGCGCCATACTTCTTAATTTGATCTATAGATCAATGATAGAAAATCATGCATTTCATTTCCTCTTGTACGGACGCCATGTTATTGTTGATGCGACTGAAGCGCCACCATGTGATGAATGAGAACACACATACTGTTTTTTATAACTGTGCAAAATTTCGGCGCTTTTTCCTTAATTGATACTTTTTGTTTTACCTTGGGTAATTTTTTTGATACATCTTAACTCCTTCTTTTGTTTTGTTTGTTTTACAACAAAGCTACACAATAGGCTATCTTCGCTCTGTACTCCACGGAGAATCGAAACCCGAAATTTAACGTTGGAAATCAGTAAACTTGCTGCTGTCCCACTGGGAGACAAGACATATAATTAAAGGGCGAAAGTCAAAATACATATTTATACTTTTTACTATATCATAACAAGCTATTAGGGATGTTCACTTGTGTTATTTGAAAACCGGTGATGAAAGTTACAAGGCCCTCAAAAAAAAAGAAAAAAGCCATACACCTCTACTTCTCCATATAACAACAAAGCGCAAAGTCATCTAATCTCATGCATAAGAGTTCTCTATAAACCATTAACCAGTTATTTTATTCAAAATATTCTTAACATAAATAATTATAATTAGTAGGCCAAACTGTTTCTTTATTTCTACACACACATATATATATATATATATTCTGAGTAGTAACAATATTGTTTTTCAGTGTTTATTATATGAGACAGAGATCCAGTACTTAGGAAAAGTTTATTGATGAATATATAAAATGATGTATTGATAGCAGCCAGGTGATTGAAATACTTCATAATACTCAGTTATAGAAGTTACATTGTTTCAACACTCTCACCCCTCCCCAAAAGAAAAACATACATAAAGAGGAATTTCGTTTTAATTCTCTCCATAATATCAACCAGACGAAGAAATGTTTACGTTTGAAGGAGGTTGCATTCTCGATGTAATGTTGAATAAATATAAGACTGAAGAAGGTGTTTTTTATTGTTTTCCTCAATTCACGCATTAATTGAATATTATGTGAACACATTTGAATACTGTGTTGATAAATATCGAAAGTTTACCATCTATAGTTCATTATCTTATGCTTTTGATAATTTTATGTAATTATAATTATTTAGAAAAATCTGTTATATGCATCAGTACGTTACTTTTATATCAGTGTTTTCTATCGTATTTTAGTATCACACCACGCTGCTGTATGAGTTGTTATTTAAAAACTGTAAAACGAAACCTTTTAATATTACATATATGAATGTGCAGAGATTACACTTATTGACCGTCCAACCAGTGGCACAGGGGGTATGTCTGCAGACTTTCAACGCTAGAAACCGGGTTTTGATACCCGTAGTGGGCAGAGCTCAGGTAACCCATTGTGTAGCTTTGTACTTAAACTGACAACAACATATTAACCAACAAACAAGTAAAGTAATACTAGTTGGACAGATTTTAAAACGATTTTCAATCCCTACTTTGGTTGGTATTGTGATATAGCTAAATGAAGCAGTCTAAATTTGCCAACCACAGTAGGGATTGAAAATCGTTTTAAAATCTGTCCAACTAGTATCATTTTACTTGTTTGTGTACTTTTTATTGCAGCATTTATTTTGTTTTGGATACTTCTTATAGCAGTTCTACGAATAACCAACGATTTCTACTTTTTGTTAATATTATAATATTTCTTCCCTATTTACATGTTCAGTTTTATATGTTCACGGAATGGATACATATATAAACTTTCAGTATAGCCATACCCCTGATAGCTATAACTTTTATTACTCAGCAAGCAATATACAGCACTTTTGAAATTAAGTCTATAACCATTGGCATTATACTATATAGAGTTGACCATTACATAATGTGTTGTAGGGGTGGACTACCCTTATCTGATCGAATAATGGTATACTACTATCAGTCATATAGTATGCCTCTGCCATACACCGATTAACAAAATTTTGCGGCAACAGGTTGTGAATCTTCTGATCCACAGTCTAAGCATGCTAGTCACTAGGCCATGCCTGGCCCCATGACGTTTTTAAATTGACACTGTTAATATTTTATTTTCTCTGTTCATTTCCACTATCTCTATAGTTAGGTTTTAAATGTAAGTCTATAATGTGTTCCTTACTTACAGGTAAAAGAATCTGTCTTGGAGAAACTCTCGCTAAGATGGAATTGTTCTTATTCTTTACGGCCATTCTCCAGCAGTTCCATATCAAGGCACCAGAGGGCGACCTCAAGACCTTTGACAGATATACCAGCATAGTTCGGCTATTGAAGCCTTTTAAAATAGTAGCCGTTGCTCGAGATTGAACCGTAATTGTACCAAATCCTTCTTTATTCAAAATATGGGCTTACTTGAAAATTCGAGAGAAGGCTGTTTCACTTTTATGTTCTAAGGTTTGTTATACACGTGCTTTCTTATAATAGATGGTACAATATATAGCTGTGTAATAATATTTTCAAATAAGCTTGTGTAGAGTGCTATTCTAACGATCTTTTTTGATATTATTTTATTTTCGTAATGATCATTTTCATGTTAATCGATTTTTTGAAATATGTTTAATAATTGCTTTCTTGTTTGACGGAAGTGCACTCCTGAACATGGAACTGTTTGTTTACAGTTCTTTATATTACAGAAAACTGATGGGAAAGTGTAATGGGCAATATTAACTATGGCTCAGTCTAGTTGAAACTCTAAATTACTTTTAAACGAATAAGATAAACTGACTGATTCGAATAAAACTTGCTGATTTAACTTATCAGCTACAATGCATTTTACCAATAGTTCTACATTATTCAAAAATTTCAAGCGTATTTTTGTAGTATCTATGATACAGATCTGAGGATTATCAAAATTATAATTTGACCATTATACTGGAAAAAGTTTTAGCCTAAAATTCAATCACTTTCAGTTACAAATTTGATGGAGAGTATTTGGCTCAAATAATGACTATTTGTTCTTTGCTTTAAGGCATTTTAAATAATTTTAAGTTCTTTAGATTTTCTCATGATGAAACCGATCACTAGTGAAGGACTTTTTAAAATGATTTTATACATTTGGTCAATTGATATCAGTGTGAAGTATACATATATTAAATTTATTACTTTAATCTAAAAACACGACTTTATTTAATTGGAAATTTTTATCATTAACTTAGTTTGTTGGATATAGAACATAAACTTATAAAATCTATAGTGATGCTGAATATTAACGAATAAATTGTTTCCTGAAAACTTTTCTATAAAAAACGTTAAACTAAAAATACACTTACATGCGATTTGCAACAACAAAAACAGTTATGATTGATCAGTACTAACTGTATTCTTCAACTTTAACTTTAACTTCAAATGGGAACAGTTGGAGATTGATAAGTAATTTTATTGTTACTGACATGTAACATTTTGATAGATTTTTTTACTCTTGAAGTTTCTGCAGACCACCATGGGAAAACCAAAATTTTTAAATTTTGGGTTACAGAAGCTTGCTAACAAAGGATTACAGTATAAAATTATAGTCAATAAATAATTAATAAAAAATGAATGAAGCTTAACGATTCATTGAAAAAAAGCTAAAGCTGAAGGAGGAGAAGTTTGTTTTTCCTTTTCTGGACATAACAAAAAAGCAATTGGTTTTGGCGGGTGTAGTTTTTTCCCAAAATATAGAAAGCTGTTTGGTGGTGCAAGAGAAACTCAAGTTTTCCTGCCAAGTTTAGAATGGTGAGTTGGTATAAAGAACAGGATGAAAGCTTTGTAGTGTAAGACATACAAGAAGGGTTTCAAATTCGATGATGGGAAACCCACTTTGAGACTAATAATGCTTGGAGACGGATTGAATGGATAATGAAGAAAAACTTTAAATTAAGTTTAACATAACAACAAATGTACAACCTTTCGACAACAGAACATTACACTGCAGTTTACTTTTTGTCCCTGAAACCAGCTCAAGAATAATCCACACTTGGACAAAACTAGCTATTAAATACAAAATTCCTGTCAACGTCAAATTCTCTCGAAAACCCGGCCCTAAATTAAAATTGTTACTAAGCAAAAATTATTTAGAATCACACAATACTAACGTCATTTACAAAATAACATGCAATAACTGCCCAGAATTCTACATCGAAGAAACAGGAAGAAAACTGGAAACCAGATTCACAGACCACAATAGAAAACCGTCCCATGTTTTCCACCATTGCAACTAAACAAAACCATAGTATATCTATTGAAAACACAGTAATTTTAAATAAACGAAAAATCAAGAAATCCATCTTAATTGAACAAATCAACCCTACTCTAAACCAACACCCTGGGGTGCCAAGCCTCTTCTAAGCCGTTCAACCTCGTTGTTCCATACTGTATATATATCTGTGTCAGTGTAAACTACTTGTACCCAATGATGACAAAACCTTGTCGAAACGTTGTACATTTGCTGCTATGTTAAATCTATATTAAAGGTTTCTTCATTACCCATTCAGGCTGTCTCCAAGCATTACAAGAAGGGTTTGTTTCAATTTAGAAAATTATGGTGATATATGGAACATCTAGGATAGAATACTTAATGATATAGAAAAAACTGCGGTTGGCAGGGTACAAAAAATAAAGAGGTACGAAAAACGTTAATGTTACTACAGCTTTTGATATCTGTAGTGAAATATAAATTAGGATATAAAACACAGTGATACAAGAGATCGTTAGTCTTGCTTCAAGTTCAGTGAACTCTGGAGAAATATAGAGTCGGATATAACGCTTAATGATGCAAGAAAAATTAGATGGTTTGTTGACGAGTTTGCAGATGAAGAGACAAGGAAGACTTGTTACAAAGCTCACAGAACTGTAGTTACAGTGATATCACATGTAACAGAAATATTTGTTTTATAAGAGACAAGGAAGACTTGTTACAAAGCTCACAGAACTGTAGTTACAGTGATATCACATGTAACAGAAATATTTGTTTTATAAGAGACAAGGAAGACTTGTTACAAAGCTACAGAACTGTAGTTACAGTGATATTACATGTAACAGAAATCTTTGTTTTAGAAGAGACAAGGAAGGCTTGTTACAGAGGTTAAAATACTGTGTTAAAGAGCTCACAGTACTGTAGTTGTAGTGATACCACGTGGAACAGAAACCTTTGTTTTAGAAGAGACAAGGAAGGCTTGTTACAGAATTATACATTGGGCGTTACATGAGACACAGCTACCCAAACTCATACAAACTGAATATATACAAACATATATACTACACAAATGTAGTTTAAGGTCATTTTTAATCCTCTACACTCGTCTGTAATTGATAGTTTAAATAGTGGACCTTCGTACACAATTTATGCTAACTTATAACTGGAGTCAGCTATTTATTAGCATGATAACTTCATCATTAAAGTCAATATCAGCATAAAATTTAGCACACTTGTTGAAATCACACTCTTTCATAGCTCGAGGTTTTTCAATTTCAAAAATCTTTACCACTTGTCTTGTCATGAGCCTAATTACCGCTAACGAAGGCTTTAATTAAAATTAATTGTCATTAGCTCGTTAATGTTGCAGAAAATTTGCAAAGGTTTTAATTCAACCTATGAGGATGTCCACAAAGATCATATCTATCAATTTTCACATGTTCTTATCATTCCTAAGTAAAGTTATGGTGTTAAAACAGTTTATCCCTGCCATATTAATTATGCATATGACATATATGTCTGAAAGTGTACTTTCAGAGGCTGTGACATCACACTTTTGTTTTGTGCTCAACTTGAAGGTTATACGAAGCGTTTAACAGTGTTTCCTTAGCATGTAAATTTACCCAGTTTTAAGTGTTAGTGCTACCTTAATGCAATTACACATTCACACTGGTTTAGGGATCAACTGTCGTTTATCTTTTAAGTAACGATTGTTTATATTATTCTCTCAACTATTTGTTATTTATAAAGATTTCAATACCTTCCCTCAGGTATATACAACATAAATAACAAAGAAATATAGCTACAAAATGTTATTATCTACAAAACAATTGCTAGAATAACAGCAAGAATAAGCGTAAATAACAAACAAATACAGCTATAATATGGTCATTTCTGACAATAAAATAATATAAGTAGTAGAATTAGAGAAATAAATGTACTTACCATACCTCTAGTGAAGAACAAGATTAGATTCAAACAACACTACAATAGCTTACCTCGACTACAGGTATACATAGTTCTATAGCCTTTAAACAATATGTAAGCTTATAGTTCAGAACAACAACAGTAGTAGCTTGTTTCTTAGGTTACTTTAAACTTAAAAATATGTTAATATAATTACAATACAAATTATCTATTTTATTTACCTATTAACATATTCAATTTATTTGTCATATATGTTATACCAGTCAATAGAACAGTTATTTAGAACATTATTACAACGTCTTCGAATATTTGGGTTACCATTATAAGCTTTATGGAGATTTTGTGATATTTATTAGAAAATTATATATTAATGTGACGCCTCCAGTGGCACAGCGGCATGTCTGCGGACTTACAACGCTAGAAACCGGGTTTCGATACCCGTGGTGGGCATAGCACAGATAACCCATTGTGTAGCTTTGTGCTTAACTTCAAATAAATAAACAAACAAACAACTGATGTAACTGCAACATCCCTAGTAGATGTTTTTAAAACTAAAGGATATGGTTGATGTTTTGAAATGTCTACAGTATACTGTATTTTATTAAGATAGACTAAAGTAGTTAGGATGGCCATCTGGGAGCAGAAGTGAAGCCACTGACCCAATTTTGATAAGCTCTTATAATGGCGTGACAAGGGCATTGACCTAGCTTGTATCTCATTCATATGGATACGTCATCAATACCAGGGGCGTGTTACTATGCGTAAATTGCTAGGTGGTATAATAGGATTACATCATCAACACCAGAAGTGCATTGTTGGATGACATCACCAGAGGGCGCGTTTCTAACATTGGTCTTTTTCATATTATTTCATTAGATTTTTGTTTTTGCTTTTATAATTAATTATCAATGAAACCTTCTGGGATACTGTTGAGTGTGGCTTGGTTTGAATTTCGTGCAAAGTTACACGAAGGCTATTTGTTTTAGCTATCCCTAATTTAGGAGTGAAAGACTAGAGGGAAGGCAGCTAGTCAGCACAACCCACCGCCAGCTGAAAGGGTGAGCATGTTTAGTGGGACGGGGATTCGAACCCGCGACCCTCAGATGAGAGTCAAGTGCCCTAACCACCTAGTCATGCCAGGCCTGATACATTAGAAAAAGACAACTTTATCAGAAGAAGATTTTAAGAAGAAATAAAATCTGTAAAATAACTGTGATAAGGATAACAATTTTCTTGACAAAATATTTCAATATATTGTTTCTTACAATAAAAGACAAGCAAATACATAT